GGAATCTTCCTGGGTTTAACAGTTGCTCCATTTGCAGGACACAAGTCTAACTTCAATGCTCTGCTAATATATTTAAATATGATTATTATTCCTGCAATCTGCATCTGTATCACAGCTATTTAGAGAGCGCTTAATTTTGGTATTGTCTGTCCCGATCAGTTGCATTCCTTCTCCATCCTAGTTTGGTGCTCTTTAATTCTCATCCACTTGTCTTTTGAGTATTTCTAATTGATAGTAGGCCTTGAGGAAGGTTTTTGAAAAATCTGGGCTGAAAAGTGGGGGCTTATAATAATAATTAAATTCAAATTATAACCACTGTGGTAGTTTGGCATCATCTGGGATGTGTGCACAAAAACAAGTGGTGTCCTGCATTTTTTCAGTTTCACCCAGTTAGCTTGTATTTAAGTAATTTTAAGCTAGGCACAGTGAAACGGCACAAGGTTGACTTAAAAATGACAGGACGTCTGATTAGAATGGCAGTATGTGGTCAATAGGAAAAGGAGTTTCCAGTGTCCAGTTGAATGGACAAATTCATAGATTGTTATTTTAGTTGTGTAGTAATTATATATTGGAATTGTTTTATTGGTGTATTTGGGGAATTTCCAGGATTGCATCCCTCATAAGAATATAATCTGTATCCATGCAGAAGCACTTGCAGTGGCTGGGGGCTAGTCCGCTTGTGTGTGTGTGCATGCACGCGTGCGCACGTAGTGTCTAGTGCAGACTTTCTGACTCAGAGTTAGGCAATAATGTGTCTTTCCTGTTTTCTTTCTTTATGCCCTATCAAAGGGAAGAATATTGCAAAACGCTTGTGTGTTGCATGAATTACTGCATTCATCTGTTTATTTTAGGTAAGGTGGATTGTTCTGGTGCATGTAGCCGAAAGAATGCATGTTCCCAACAACCAGAGCAGGGGGTCTTCGGACCTTGTAAACAGGCACAGAAGCCTTTTTCTTTTTTTTTTCTATCAAAGCTAAATGCAACAGTTTTTGCTGTGCTTCTCTGTTAAAAGGAAAAGGACAATGGAAACAAAATAGTGGACTTTTTTTCCTCTGTGATGTAAATTCGCGTTGACAGCTTTGTAATTAGCACTTCCTAACAGGCCTTTAAGTGATATAGTCTCAACAACAAAAAAAAAACAAATACACACCTTCCTCCTTTGATTCGGCAGCAGTGTGGGTTATATAGGGAAAACCAGGAGAAACAGTCCAACTGTTTCATGCTAACTTATAATGTCTTTGGTTTTTCTCTAGTAAAAATTAAACCAGCTGGTAAGTTGCTCAGTTGTCCTCTCTCATCGAAATGTGCATTCAGGCCCAAAGGTTACACCAAAAGTCAAAACTGTTGGTAACTTTCATCTTTGAGTATCAAATTAGGAAAAGAAAACTATGCCTTTTCATAATTGCTTGTATAAATCTTAAGCAATAAAATTGTATTTCATTGCTCTTAATTATTCCAGTTGAAGTTGGAAACTGAGCAGAGTGTTAATATGAAACTATTACACACTTGCAGTGGGTCACTGGTGTTCACAGCTTATCAAGCAACTGTTGCAGCTTAAAAACAGTCTTCCTCTGGCCCCTCCTTGAATTTCAAAACCCTTATATTTCTTTGCAGAGAACTACTTGTTTGCTTTCCATTAAGCAAAGCAACACAGTGCAAACTGATACCTGGCTCAAATGCAGATTACCTGACGATGCACAGTAACAGTTGGCTTGAACCAAACTGGTAAAACAGGTTTTGTCGTATTTTCTGCCCCGGCTTGCTGTTTCCACAGTTCCCTCTGTGTCCATACTGTGGCCATGTGGCAGTCTGAACAGGGCTTGCTTTTTAGCTGCGTCATGTCCCTATGTGGCTATATGATTGCTGGTCCTGACACAGGAGTTGAGAAACCTTGTTCTGGGGCAGAAGAGGAAACAGACTGGTGGCAACAAAGTCTTAACTCAACCTCACTTTTTTAACATACTCCTTTAGGCTGAAGCTAATCTGTGCAGGAATATATTGTAATGTTGGTTTTTTAAATGCTTCTGGCCAGTGAAAAAGCTCTCATTTTGCACTGTGTTATACAGCCCTCCATGTTTAGGTAACCAACAGGATTGTCCTGTTAAATAAACTGGATATAATGTGACTTATATTAATGTGACTTATGTGATGGTGGGTACATCCGTAAAGATAAGAGCAGGCTGCTTTCACTTGCTGCCTTCTTGTGCTTTGAAGTCTAACCTCCAGTGCACTTGCAGTGGTAGGAAAACCAGTTCCAGGCTCCAGGTGGCAAGGCTGTGTTTGCACAGGGCTGTGTCTGTGGGAATTAGGGTTTTTAAATGAAATCCAGAGGACTAAAATACAAACAGTTTATTTCTGCCTACAGTTCTGCAGTTAGTGCTGGATCTGTGACTTGTTATACAAAGAGTAGCCTCAAGGCCCCCCCCTCCTTAGGCTGTGTTCCTGTACCTAGTGTAAGCGTTCTGTGCTGAGTCCGGTGGAAGGTTTATCCGCTTCCAAAGCGCTCTGGCAGCTGCCCATAACCTATGCCTGGGGAGAGGCATTAGGACCTATAGTCATACTTGCCTGGGTATTCCTCTCTCCTCCTGTGCTCTTCACTGTCTCCATACTAGTCATGGTGTCCGATAAAGTGTATCTTCCTCAGTCATCCTTTTCCAAGCCTCATGAGTAATTACTATATTTAATATCTATAATAACTATTAATAACTAATAAAGTATATACATCTCATATGTTTGGTATTTCTTTGCACATTTTCTAGTTCCAAGTATCTTCTTTTCAGGACAGGAGTCCGCTAAAGATTGTACAACAGCGTACTGATCTTTCTATTTTGTTCCTTTCCTCGTAGTTGCTCTCACTCTTCTTGCTTTCTGACTGCTGTCGAGCACTGGGCTGATTAAAATCGGTATTTTGCTTTCTCTCTCCTGTATGCTAATAGCTCTGCATCCCTCTGCCTGTGCAGTTAAGTTTCCTTCTACTTGTGCGTTGCTTTTTGTTTATGGCTTGTTGCATCTAACCTGTGAAATTATTGCCAGCCATTCAGGATTTAATGTTCTTTGGTCAGCTTTCCTTTATCTGACATTGAATAAACTGGTATTGATAACAACCTTCTACTGTTTTGCTCCCGTCGTTTTTCGTACACTTTGTTCTTTATCCCCCAACACTTCCTAGCTGGCCAGTTGTTGCTGGTTGCTGCTGCATATGGCTGCTTGTCACCTTTTATCTCCTTGATGCTAAGCAAATATGGCAGGCGCTGAGTTTTGTGCAGGTTAAGAGCAAAATGACTCGGACACACTTCAAAAAGATGCGCCCTGCTGTTAGCCAGCAGGATGAATCTTTCTGTCGCAGTGTAAAAACGCAACTTGAAATACATCAATCCTGAAGAGGAGATCAGTCAGCAGATAACCTCAGGCTGCATAATCCTAGTTTTCTTTTATTTTTGGGCATCTTTTCTGAACTTCTGGAAACACTTGTCCCCCAAGCTTTTGAACTGGATCTCAAAGATGCTAAAAGTCTTTTTCTCACTGCCCTCTTTCTTCCTTGTCTCTCCCCAGGAGCCCAGTACCCTGTCTTTCTGCCATGCTTGCTAGTTTGTGGCATGATAGAGTGGATAATCAATTGGCTTTGAAAATAGCCCCTCTCTTTTGCCAGTTCTGGTCCTCAGTGCCTCTTGAGTACACTTAACTGCGGAAACTGCCTACAGCTGTTGGAGAGGTCGCACAAGCATCAGACCTGGCACAGGGTGGGCCGTTTAGGCATGGCTCTGGGAGCAAGGAATGGAGACCAGGACCTTCCTCTGGTAACTTCAAGCAGTTATATTAACTCAAGCTATCCCATGTAACCTCATCTTCAGTTGCATGAAGCTGGTGATATAGCTGGAAATTAATCTTTGGCAAGGAAGAGGGAATGCCCCTGTTGGTGGCAGTGTGGGCTGATGCCAAACTGGAGGAGATGCATTACCAAGTTACAGGTTACGCTTTGGGATGTGTAACACTCGGCCACTGAGTCTTAGTCATAAGAATAACTGGTTGAGGACAGCCAGAGCAGGACAGAAGGAACAGCTCTGAATGGATTTGTCTGAGATGTGTTTTCATCCTTTTTTTAAAAAAGACGGGAGAGGGAAATTTTGCATAAGTATCTATAGGATAACTTCTTTTTAAAAAGAAAAATCTTGATTTTAAGTCTCTGTTCAAAAAGTAATAGACTCTGTGAGGAGGGGCCTTCAGTCTGCTTGTGGGAGCAAGTCACACTCAGGGCTGTGAGGCCTTTTCTAAGGTCTTATGTGCTGAAGTCATGCACTGCTACGCTAAATTGTCTTGTGTTTCTGCATCTGTTAACCTAAGCAGTCCTCAGCCTAGTGTTTCCCAGGATTGTGGAAGTGTTTATGATTAGACCACTAGCTAGTTCCCTTTCAGTATTTCTATAATGTGGTGTTCACTGTACATTCAATGATATATACTCAGATCAAGAAAAATTAAATGCACAGTATGAGCGGTTTTACTATTTAGTTATTCAGACAGTTTCTTCAAGCAGGTGGAGTAAATAATAGTGTCAAGTAAATCTGGCTGCGCTTCTTCCTTTCCTTAAATCTGCCATAGATTTTTGTTGAAAGGGAGAATACTTTGGCCACACACTGAAGTGAAAAGCTACTTCACAACTGATAAAAGAGCCGTATTGATCAGTGAATTGGCTCCAAAAGGTAGCTTCAGTGCTGCTGCTTCACTAAGATAATTAATGTTTTTTTCATTACTCTGAACAATGCAGTCTGAAAAATCCACACAGCTTGTTGATTTTCTTCTTTTAATGTTTTTCTCCTTCTGACAGAATGGAGTCATGTCTGGATTGATGCAAATGCTGCTTCTCAAGGTTTCTGCTCACATCACAGAACAGCTGGGAATGGCCCCAGGAGGAGAATTCAGGGAGGCTTTCAAAGAGGTGTGAACTCGAAGTGTGTTTTTTCTGAGGTCAAATTACTGGCCTTTTGCTTCCAGAGTCCAACGAATAAAACCATTTGTTAGTGACTAGAACAGAGCACTCTGGCCATACTTGTGCTGAAGCCTGTGAAGTAGTAAGAATCATCTTTGGCTTCAAAGTGTACTCAAGAGTAGAGGTTTGTAGCCCTAAGTGGCATGAAAACACTACAAAAAGGCTTCAAATGATAAGGGCTTTTCCTGATCATATTTCTCATGGCATTTGTTTTCATTTAATTAATAATTTACTCATTTTGTTCCTGTTAAATAATTGTTTTTTAATTCTGGATATGACTCCTGGTCCCACTATTGGTGGTGTCAGGGTTTCAGGCTGTGAAAACCAATTCTAAAGCATTAATGAGATCCAACACATCATCTAGAAAGATGGGGGGGAGTAAAATATCTGAGTGGTCTGTTAGTCTTATCTGGCCTTTTAACATTCACTTTTGTACACTGCCAGCTTTGATACTGGGAAGTAAATATTATCTGGACTTCTGCAGTATATCACAGCTACTCTTTTTTTGTCTGGGAATAGAGACACTATTTTCACTGTATGTGAAAATATCACATCCACCTTGCATAATACATCTTGCTGTTTTTATGTAAATTATGTACTAGTAAGGAAACCTGAGATAACATAGCTGTTAAAGAATCTGGAATAATTTGGTGTATTTATCCTTAATAAAAAGAAAACTGTTTTAAGGCTTATTTTCCTGACCATTCCAGACCAGAGTGAAACACTCTAAGTGTTATCCATTTTAAGTGGGGAAAAAAAAATTAACTCTGTCCTGTTCTAAAGTGGTGGTTTGAAGTCTTTAAACAGGTATACATAGGAAAGAATTTTCTAGAAATTCTGGACTATGCCAAAATTTGTCAGTTGAAGCTACAGCAAGGTCTCACCTCTCATTGTCATGTGGTATTTGGCATCAGTTCTTGTTTCATAGGCTCCTTCTTGAGTATATGTTACCATGGCAAACTGGTAGGTTGGTGATCCTGACAAATCCTAGCTAAAAGCAGTTGTGTCACCTTAGACTTTATTCAGACCCAGATAGATAGTGAGCCCTATTTGTTCACCTTAAAAAGTCATAAGCAGGAGCTTTCTGCTTAGGTGAAAGTAACCTAAAGAGGGTGGCATCACATCTTAATGTTTTTACTGTAATACCTACTGCATTTTGTAGCTGATGTATCCCTTTATGAAGTAGTATCTTGGAAATTTTATTTACTGCAAAGCCAAAATATTTTCTGTTGCTGAAGCATGACACTACTTGCTCTTTTTTACGATATGTTGTATAACACAATAAAACATTCTCTTAATAAGGATGTACTGTGCTGCAATATGAAATGTTGGCTAGTGATTTCTATCTTCTCTTTCAGGCCAGTAAAGTACCTTTCTGTAAATTCCATCTTGGAGACCGACCCATCCCTGTTACATTTAAAAGAGCAATTGCTGCACTTTCTTTCTGGCAAAAAGTCAAGCTTGCCTGGGGCCTTTGCTTCTTATCTGACCCAATCAGGTATGAATAAGCATCCCACATGTGAGTTGTTCAGTTCTTCAGTTTGATTGTAGTATGAGCTGGAAGTCCTCAGTACCCAGTCTGATGTAGTGAAACTTGAAGTTAGTGAGAAAATAAACATACAAACTACCCTGTAATAATACTTTTTTTTTTTTTTTTTAAAAGAAAGCAGACTTTCTGATCTTGTTACAGTTTGCTCTTTAATTGTCTTTTGATACATTACTTCCAAGTAAAGTGGAAGATTTTGTGCTGGGGAATTCCTAGTGTACTTAAGAAGTTTTTTAAATTCTATTTTTACGCTGAAAATTAAATCTTTCCCACTACTGTGTGTGGATATTGTAAATAGAAGAGAGGAGGGCCTTGGTATGCTAATTTATACTACCTTAATATTTCCAAAGGACTTGGGCCTGCTGTGCTAAGTCACATCTGGATCAGGGCAGCTTGAGAACCAAATCTGCTGACTGAACAGATTTTTGGAACAAGAGAAAATGTTTCAAGTCTGTGGACAGCATGACTGTTCATGGTTACTGCCTTTATAAAGGGACATTGTTAGGAACTTTTGCCTTACGGTAGTAATTCTCAGACAGCTATTCTCTTGCTCAGCTTGGTTTCTCCTGTCCTTCAGAGACATCCCTATACCAAGTTTGCTTCCTCTTTCCACAAGTAGGTGTGTGATAACGTGCTTGAACTAGCTGAGAACATATGCACAGCTGTCCTCCTAAATTGTCTGCTCTACCAGACTTGCAGTGGTGGGAGGCTTGCCAGAAATGGGTTCCCTGTGCATGTGGTCCCTAAATATTAAGATAATTGTGGTATATGCACACTAGCTTCCCACTGAAGCTTGAACATAACATCTCAGTTGTTGTATTATTGGTTGATCAATCATTGATTTTTAAAAATAACATGTGGGTAGGTGTTGAAAAGGAAAGGTCTGTATAATTGGGAAGTTGTTGGAGCGGGGATATTACAGAATCACAGAATCATTAACATTGGAAAGGACCTTCAAGATCATCAAGTCCAACCACCATGCCCACTAAACCATGTCCCAAAGCGCCACATCCACATGTTTTTTGAATACTTCTAGAGATGGTGACTCCACCACCTCCCTGGGCAGCCAGTTCCAATGCTTGACCACTTGGTGAAGAAATTTTTCCTAATATCTAATCTAAACCTCCCCTGGTGCAACTTGAGGCCATTTCTGCTCGTTCTATCACTAGTTAGTTGGGAGAAGAGACCAACGCCCACGTCACCACAACCCCCTTTCAGGTAGTTGTAGAGAGCCATAAGGTCTCCCCTCAGCCTCCTCTTCTCCAGACTAAACAACCCCAGTTCCCTCAGCTGCTCCTCATAAGACTTGTTCTCCAGACCCCTCATCAGCTTCGTTGCCCCTCTCTGGACACGCTCGAGCACCTCAACATCCTTCTTGTAGTGAGGGGCCCAAAACTGAACACAGTAGTCAAGGTGCACCTAACCATCAACATGAGATTCTGTGGAAAATGGACTAATAATTCAACATCAGATTTTTGTCAATCTGACGTTTGTATGATCTGTTGAAAGCTAGCAGTGCATTTCTCCTTCTGCTTGCCCTGTTGACGTTTGTAGTGTCCTTTTGGTCTTGGAAACTAAAGAAAGCATATTTGGCATAATTCCTCAGATGGTAATGCAAGAACAGATGATTCTGTTGCCACAAACTGTGACTGTACCACAGCTGTGGGTGCAAATGGAAGGTTAACAGCACTTACAAAAATATAAAAGCTCATGACATTTACTCCTGCAGTTTTTATTTGTTTATTTCCTGCCCATTTCCTATCCTTCTGTTCAGGGAATTGATTTGTAACTTTGACTTCCCCACTAAAGACCTGTGATTGACACTAGGAACCTGCAGAACTCTTTCCATCCCCTCAGACTGTGCCTTACAGTGTGCTTTTTTTGGTTCCTGAAATAGAGCCTCTTGTTTGTTCAGTGATCAGATCTGCTTCCTTGGGAGTGGTCTGTGTTGCCTCTTCTAAGCTTATTAATACACACTGCACTGGAAGTGGAGCACCATGATAACTATTTCCTCAGTTGTCAGCTTTCAAACTGGGAAGGGCAAAAACCCAGTTTTAGGCCAGTTGCAC